GCCCACAGGCCGAAATAAACATCTTACATCCTGTTTTCTCAAAGAGCCACAACAAAAGAAGGTATCTCAGTTAAAAGGAGTCTTTTAATAACCCAAGTCTGACTCAATATCCAAACCCAAGTCTCAGGCTTGGGTACCCAATACCCAAACCCAAGTCTCAGACTTGGGTACCCAATACCCAAACCCAAGTCTCAGACTTGGGTACCCAATACCCAAACCCAAGTCTCAGACTTGGGTACCCAATCCCAAACCCAAGTCTCAGACTTGGGTTTGGGTTTGTAACATACCTAGTCTATATCAATGACTAATTTCCCGGTTAGGCAGTCTACTTTACATATCAATCGATAGAGAATTTCACTGGCTACAAAACGATATATAAGACAGTTTTATGAAAATGTAACTGGGTAGTCTCAGTTTCGAAATACTCTGTTACATCTCAGCAATAGATTCGAAATACTCTATTACGTCGTTCATGTTTATAATATCCATTGATTTTCTCGTTGACCGCTCTACTTTATATACCATTCGACAGAGAATTTCACGGGCTTCAAAATGAGCTATAAACAAATCGTTCAAAAGTATGCTCACACTAGTCGGGAGATATCTTGTTTTACTCAGAATTTTATGCTTTATCAGCCTATATGATTAATAAAATTTTCTGATCAAAACAACAAAAAACCTTTGTCTTTGATATACAACATTGGGGGACTGGCTTCGAGAATGGAGTTGAGGAAGTATGCGCAACCCAGACTTTTCGAATTCATCAGTACGAGCTAAGATGTTTCCTAGAATATCGGAGCACATTTTAAATTCTGTCATAGAAGTAATTGCGTTTTCTATCCGTCTAGTAAGGCGCAGAAATAGCGCGCAGGTGAGCGTCACTAGTCATATCTGCAGCAAAAACATGAATTTCAAACAGATATACACGTTGTAGTTGTGCATTTCTACCATTCTGCTCATTGTTTACATGGACGCTAGCCTCTGCACAACGTTGAAGTTATTGGTTATTCGTAACTAACTTCTAACAACGGCAAGGATGTTAATGGGTTTTGCAAAGCTTTTTCATCTTTATTTCTACTAATACTTTCTCTCAAAGCACCTTTCAAGTACTAATTATTTTTTAATTCTAAAGAGCACATTCTGAAGTACGAAACAGCATGGGTTTAATTTTTTTTTAAAACTATTTCAGATTAAATGAAATAAAAGAAATAAAGGACCTTAGAAATCGTATTGTAAATTTCTGGAACGATGCTGCAGGTGATAATACGAAAACAGCTTGAAAACAACATTGAAACAATCTTGAAGAAACAAGATTTTCAAATTTGAACAATTCGTTATATTATCGTCGTCTATAAAAGCTTTAGTTCAGCCGCCATTGTTGCTGTTATTACCGTTGTACTGTTGGTTTATTTGATTAAATTTAAATATAATATCATTACAAACATCACTTGTATAATAATCGTTGACAGCGAAATCCATTTGACATTGACTTAATTCGTTTACTTCTTCAATAGTACTTTTGAGAGGGTCAGTTTCAGATGATCGCACTGATGTTCGTCGACAAAATAGAGATTTTAGTACTTTGATAATTCTTCCAACAACTAGTCTCACTAATTTTAAAACCCATGGGTCTCGTTGTTGTTTCGAATCAACTGGTGTGCCAAGATTGTTATCGCCAAGCATTAAAACGGTTTCTGAGTCATTATTATTCTTAATCAATATATTGTCTTCACTATGATCGTCATCATCATTGGTTATATTCCATATTTTTGTATGATAAATCTTTATATCAGTTTCCTTGAGTTGACCATTGGTAATCAAGACTTGTGCAACGGGTCGTGAGATTTTTAAATTATATCTTTTAAGAAAATAACATGCAGGATAAGTTGGTTCAATAGCACTTATTAGGTCATCGACTGGTAAATTATGATGAAATAATTCAAGAGCTCTTTGAACACCATTTTCATTGCTGATTTGTGAAGCTATTCGTTCAGCTGCTATTCTTGTTTCATCTTTTAGCACAAAACTAAATGCATCACATAATTCATCAGTTGTCAAATTTTTACCAGTAATGGGCAGTGGACCGGCTCCGAGTTTGGCTACAGTTGTACCCCAAAAAAACTGATCACCGAAAAATGGAACAATAATCGTCGGTTTACCCAAGCGGAGACCAGCTGCTGTTGTACCACATCCACCATGATGGCATACAGCTGTGACATGTTTAAATAACCATTCATGTGGACAATCATCAACAAGAAAAATGTTTTCACTGGGTGATTTGCCATCCAGACCTTTCCAGTCTTTCGGCAGAATAGCTCGATAGCCGCCACGATCAAGTGCTCCTACGATAACTTCTAACATATGTTTACTATCATGACCAGTAATACTTCCGAATCCAATGTAAAAGATGGGTGTTTGACCACAATCATTTATAAATTGAACAAGATGCCGAGATGGTTTATAATTTTCTACCAATGATGAATCGAAAAAAAAATAACCAGAAACATCAACATGTTCTGGCCAATCATCTGGTTTTGGTACAATGGACGGCGACCAACAATAGATATGTGGCACATTTTGTGTTACTAAGATTTGACTTGCCTCGTTCGCTGGCAATGGACGAAGGCCAAGAACTTCTGTTCGAAATTTATTTATGTGTTTTCCAATCCCCATCCATATTAGCCTTTCAATCACGCCATATGACAGGTAATTAACTTTTTCAAATTGTGTCGATTGTTGATAAAGTACACTACATAGTGGCTGTGGGAATGATGTCGTTGGTGTCCATGGAAATGTAAAGCAAATATGTAATGGTATGGATAGTTTTTCAGCACAGTGAATATGTCCATAACTTGGCGGATTAGCAATAATTGCTTCAGCTCGAAATGGCCGATTTGTTTCATCATCATTTTCTGTACAAGCTTGCCAACATGAATGAACAATATCATGCACATGATCGGTATTTCGTTTTAAATCACCATTAATAATACTACTAAACGATGGAAAAATACCGGAATTTTTAACCATAAATGACATTAAGTCGGCTGAGTTTCCACTAAGTGGATAGAATTCGACCCCATTTTTTCTTATTAGTGAACGAAATTCTTCATGGGTAGCTAAGCGAACACGATGTCCGTATTTCATTAGTTCTTTAGCAAAGGCACAATAGGGTTGAACATCTCCCCGACTTCCGACAACCAACATGCAAATATTTAATCGCGGTACGACACGATGATCACCATGGAACTGTTTTTTCTGGGAAGTGGAATACTTGAAATAGGGGAGACCATCATCGTAATTATTAATTGATAAATGAAAATATTCTTGTTCATCTAATAAAGATGCACTATAATCAAATATTCCATGATCGAATATTTTTCCTTGCAACATTGTTCGTGGAGATTTGTTATCATCGACGAGTACACAGATAGAAACATGCATATTTAAATATGCGTCCGTCGTATATAATTCAATCTCATTTGTTTGTTGTGCATGTTCCTTTGGTATCTCAACTGAACATGGTAAATAACCATGAAATAATTTTTTACTATTCAAACATATTTGTGCTAAGATACGATTGGTACTGTACGAATTATCAAAATTTATATAGATATGTTTTGGTTGTTCATGTTCAATTCGAAATTGTTTATAATACAAATAAAACTGATTCGTCACATTCATTTGTGTTTTAGGATTATGTGGTAGATCGACACTTTCCCATTGTTGTGCATCACTTGACACTAATTTTCCGTTTTGATTTAACTGAAATTTCCAGTCATGATCTAGATTAATTATAAATGTACTTAAACAATTACGTTCACCGTCAATTTGTGACATTAATGAACTGATAGCTATATAAAAAGATTAAGATACTATGTAGAAATTTGATTATCTTGCTTCGGATTATATCTAAAAGCATTCATCAATGTAGAATTTTGAATTAAAGTGAAACTCCTCGACTGCTTCTATGCTATATTATTTGCTATGATATAACATTAGTGGCGTAGCTACCGTGTTGGGTCAGCTCATTACTAATTGGTTTTGCCCATCGACTAAAACTTTAATAATTCACACTACTCGGCGCTAATATCTACCACTTTCAAAAAAGATGGAACAGTGCTTACCCACTAACAGAAGAAATTTAGGACAACATCCACCCACTAATAAAATCCTGGCTACGTCACTATAGAACATATCCTTGTGCATTATAAACAGACGTAGGCAACATGATCAGTATCTTAAGAATCATTTCATATACTCTACGGCCTATTCTTGTAGAAACTGCTCAATCGACATTCACAATACTGTGAAAAAGTTAGCTAGTCATGTAGAACAACCATTTAGATGTTCTGTCATGTGACAGGACAGGGCACGTGCATTATCTCCTTGATGTACAAAGCCTTCTCACAGCAGAGTCATTTTTTAGCTTTTTACTTTTCAGTCTGGCATAATTCGATCTATGGACTTGCGATAAAAACCTGCGATCCTTCTACATATGAGAATGGTAAGCTTAAAGTGGCGTAATGTACAATTGTGGTCTATTCATTTGCTTTTATTTCTTTAACGATAGAAAAAACCATGTAGATAAAGGTAAGGAAAAGAAAATATTGTATATGTATTCAGTAAACTGTATGCTCTAGTCCAATATGTTTTCATTCTTTTCTTTGATCACATTTCTGTACGCATGATCTGTTGTTTCTTGTATGTTAGAAATGTGACTTATATTTTTCAATGTCTATGTATTCTTTTCTTCTATCTGTTGCTGTTATAGCGGGAGATTGCGAATTTCCGATACGGGAATTCGATCATACTTCTGGAATTAGCTTACTCCTTATTTCCTTATTCGGGAATTCGCTTATTCGATACTGCGTCTCTGAAATAAACGAATGCTCGAATAAGCGAATACGCGAATAAACCAATAATCGAATTCCGGAATAAGGAACATGCAAAACGCGTAACTCTGATACCGTAATCTCTGTGTGTTACCGTTTTTTCGTTTATCCTATAATATTCGGAAAGAATATCGTAGAATCCTGGAAAGCGTCTTGTTTTGTAGAATGAAATGCGTTCTTCAAAATCGACCACTAGCTTAATTCAAAATAATTGACGCTTTTTATGCTATACTTAAAATACGAAGAGCCTCAAAAACATTGTCGTTTGTTTTTAGGGCTTTTAGTATTTCGATTGTGACCGAAAAGTCGTCAATTATTTCGAATTGAGCTAGTAGTGGATTTTGAAGAGCGCACTTCACTCTACAAAACAAGACGCTTTCCAGGATTCTACGATATTCTTTCCGAATATTACAGGATAGACGAAAAGCGAAAAAACGGTAACGCACAGAGATTACGGTATCAGAGTTACGCGTTTTGCATGGGAATAAGTCCATTCCCCAATAAATGAATTTTCGAATTCCTGACGCTTACATGAATTCGGGTTCTACAGCACTCATATTTCTGTAAAGTATAAAGGCTGCACATGACTTCATTCAGTTCGTCTTTTGATTGCAGCCAACTTGTCAGTCAGTTTAATTGAAGAAGACGTTGAAAGAGAATATTTATTAATGTTTCGTTATTAGTTATTTTCTGCGTAGTTTATTTTTGTCAGTCTATTTTATCTTTGATTATATATATTATCAAAAATCAAGTTGTCAATTCTGCTAGGCTTTACAACTAAGAGAATAGCTAAGCATGATAACTCTACACATGAGAACTTGATTTTCTCTTTAAAAAAGCTTTAACATATTCTCATAAAATTAAATACTTACTTAAAGACTGTTAAAATTAATGATAATTAATTGTTCTTCTGCGATGGAATTTTTAGATTTATCTCGTATCTGTCGAAGTTTTAGTATCAAATATCCGTTCAACAAGCTGAGCTTTTGCACTGACTTTGAATTAAAATTTCTCGAGATTAAGTAGTAGACTTTGATTCAAAAATTCGAAAAGATCAAATTCTTTAAGAGTTACATGATATTTTTGATCCCTGCGATCTGTTCTCAGGTTAGGAGGGGGCGGTAATGTTGAGGATGCGTTATGAGGGATTGGGATCAAAAATATCATATCACATGTCTCTTTGTGATCATATAATGGGTATCATAGGAATCACACAGAGACAAGTATGCATATTAAGCGTATTTCGATTTATCTATGAGAAGGATTATCAAATGCAAAAATATATAAGCAAAATATATAATTGATATAAGAAGTTAATTATTTTTTTATTAGCAAGATAAGTTTGACTTTCAAATAAATACTGAGTGATTTTTGAAATATTCATATGGCTACGTCTCAAAAGAGATACATTATATATTCTCACACGAGATACAAATCCAGATTTTACAATGTATCTCTTTTAATCAATTAAAAATTATCTCTTTTGGGAAACGAATATTTTGGCAAGAAATTGCGTTTCTCAATAGAGATACAATTATAATTATGGAATCTCTCATTTCTCAAAAGAGATACATTATCTCTCATTTCTATATTCCAAATAAAAATTAAATTAAATACGAGATAAAATCAATCAAAATTATCTTAAAAGGTAATTAGTACTTTATTTTAAAAAAATTATTCTGCAAAAAAAAGTTCATTTTAAGCAGAAGAACTATCAGTTATACGTGTTGAACAAGAAGATAAGCAAGGCGAACAACGAGAAAAAGAAAAAAACAAGATGTTGATCACGCTTCTCATTTAGTTTCTGCGAGACAAGCATTACTGAGTGAAGAAATAGACTTAGAAGAATATCAAAGACTTTGTCGTCATTTTCGATATAATTATTTGGAAGTGTTTAAGAAAACTCGTGATTCTGATACTACTATCCGTTCCAAATGGTCAGACCGCTGGTCGCTTTTAGATTTTTAGCTGACTCAAGGAAATTTTTAGAAAACGCTCAGAACAGCTCATAAAACATAATCGAAGACGAAAAAGGTGAATGTGAGCTGGGCATTGGCTTACGGTTTTCCAGAAACCTTCTGAAAAACTTCAGAGCATCAGTGTTCTGCTGGATCACTTTTTCGGCCTGGTCAACAACATATGGCACCTTTTAAGCCTTTTCTGAAAATTTCCTTGAGTCAGCATGAGATTTGATTGAGATATAAGGATTTTAATTTTTGCTAGTAACAGGCGAAAAACCGGTTTTTCACAAAAATGCCTCTGACGAAGTTATATTCATTTCTACACAAAAACAAATGTTGCTACTATGCTCAGCGTAGTCGATTACCTATAGTCCATGGCATTTTGAGATTCCCAGAGATGTCTGCTCGGAGATAGACACGTGCTCGGGGAAAGCGAGCCCTGCCCGAACGACGATAGCTAGAGAGCCGGGACTTGCATAATTTTGTAGAGTAACGTCCGAACTATCTACGCATGCAAAAAAATTACTAACATTGTATGTTAGTTTTCTGAGAACGGAGCTGGTTTTCCAAAGATCCTCTGAAAACCCGATCTCTGAAATGTTTTCAAAAGTTGCTTCCGCTTGTGAAAAGTTCTGCTTAAGTCTTGGCTATTGAACAGCGAAAATCGCAGGTCTCTATCTCATCCCTATCAAAAGTTATTCAAAAAGCGACCAGCGGTCTGACCATTTGGAACGGATAGTAGTAGAGATGATGGTGAAGACAGCGAGGATTAAAAGATTAACTTCTTTTTTGCAAAATAATTTCTTTTAACTAAGTACTAATTACCTTTTAAGATAATCTTGATTACTTCTATCTCTTATTTAATTTAATTTTTATTTTTCATATATTAATTTTAATTATTTTTATTTTTATGCCTTACCCCTAATTTTTTTCTAGGTTTAGTGCGGTTGGGATCCATATCGAATTGGATCCTAGCCGCTGTAAATTCCAAAAACTGTCGAGGCTGTGAGGCTACAACTCAATCTAGAACCCGAATTTTTATAGTAGGCCGAGCCTTAAAATTTTGGGTGTGTGCTACCCTGACTTGCATGGGCCCCGTCCTAAGCTCCCGAAAAAACTGTATGAAGGTCTATTGACAAGTAATGTGCAGCAGTGCTACACAGGTCTCTTTCTGCAAATCTTGTTTAATCTTTTTGGATCTATGATAACGTACCGATCAATATCAAGATCCAATAACAAATTTTTTAAACATCCTCAAACTTTTGTCCAGTAAAGCCCTTCCTACCTTGGAGCTCAAAATATCTTTCTAAAGATTCATTACGTGCCGAAATTTCAAAATCTCTAATTAGAGCTTTTTTTATTAGAGCGGTTTTCCGGAAAACCGAGTCTGGAGAAAACTTTTTTGAAAAACCCGATTTTAAAACAAAAACCCACGCTTGCCAAAAAAATTGTCTTGTGATTCTTTGTAGCTCTCTGGCAACCTCTTCATTGCAAAATCCATAAATATGAATATACTGTTATTATCTATACTCTACAAAGCGTATACTAGAAAATCATAAACACGTCGAAAACCCTTTCGGAAACTGTTTTCCGTATTCGGAATGATCTCGAAAACTCCTTTCGGTATTTGAGAATATATGAAGCGTACTTGAACCTTTGAAAAGTTTTGGCAAAAACAAAAAACTTTTACATACTCAAAACGGTATCGTTGAATACCGAACAAGGTATTATCTAAAACTCTTTTTTTCTCAAACTTTTTCCGAAACCTAAAACATATTAGGATATTCGATTGTCGGTTGTAGAAAATACTTTTTCGGGTTGAATTATTTCTTATAAAACCCTTCGGTTTTCGAAAGGGAGAAAACCCCCTTGGGTTTTAGAAAAGACGCTTCCACTGTACAAAGCTTATTTCGGATACTCCGTTCCGTTTCGGAAAATAATGTTATCGTGGTTTTTGATTCGAAATGCAGAATGACAGGAAGAGAATATGCAGAAATCCCTTATCCCTTTTGCAGAATGCTTCTCCTACTTCTGTTTATAACTGCCTTATAAGAAACTACGTCCAATTCCTCGCTGTATGGAATTTTATTATAATCTACTTCCTCTTCCAGAATATATAATACAAGTTTCATTTAGGTTAACAGTACCAGTTGGAAATGACATCGTGATTTCACCATGTTTTACCCGACTTTCTCTTCGTGAACGTAATGCAATCAAGATGAATCCTTCACCTCAGACTTACTTCGAGGTCTACTTTAAAATAAGTACACAGCAGCTTTAGTTGTAAACACACTCTCCACTTTTCGTCGAAACTAAGCTCATAGCTTTTTAAACTTGAAAAATTTTGATTGTTATTTTTGATACAGCTCAATCAATCTTAGAGAAAGGAGACTTCTCTAAGTTCTCCCATGTGCTTCTCAATTATGGTTCGACATATAACTGGCATTTGATTCCAAAATAAAAGTGAAAGCGGTTGATATTTTATGGTTCACGTGTGAATATTACCAATAAGGTAACGCTTGCCGTATGCGAAGAAAACATTCATACTTGGACTTTCCGAGAATGTATACCCGAAGATATCATCGTTAGGATCAGTTCGTTATTAGAGCCAATCTAATATCTTGTGAATGAGGCGGAATGGCTTAGCCCCAACCTTTGCCCAGTAAACATCGATTGAGAAAAAACACAGAACTCCTGACATGTGGTACATTTTCTGAAAAAAGAAGACTCGTTCCTGATATACTCAACACGTCTGAAGAAAAATTGAAAAATCCTTTTTGTCTAACTGTACACAGTAAGACAAAAAGGATTTATATGTCCGTATCCCCTCACTCACTGTAACTGCCGCAGAGGTGTAACCGGTATCAAAAATGCGATACCGGTCTATCGGTCGGTACCGGTTTGTCTTGATTATGTTTTGCCTAAATACAAATACTTTTTCCTTGTCACATATGTGAAGATGTCTGTTAACACTCACCGAAAAAAATCGATTACTCTTCTTTTGATCAATTACTTATGTTATCAAAGAGATATATTAATCTCTTCACTTTGATGATGTGTAGCTGATTTTTTCCACGCACTTTTTTAACAAAAACAGCAATCCAATTCAATTTTTTAAATTAAGAAGCTTATATAACCGAACTAAGTTCATGTAATTGGAATGAAATTCCAGTGAAAGAAATATATCAAAGATGAGCTGAATTTACACGATGTTTTTGGAAAAATCGCACCATACCGCAAACCACCAGCAATATCAACCAACTGAGTATATCTCATACTAATACCGGTATACCACTGCTTTTTCGTCTCGTCTGAAATATATGAAAAACGTCGATATCTGTAACGTGTGTATATAACAAAAAAAAGATGGCATCGATGATGGAAAAGAAAGTGAAATATATTCGTCTTCTTTTCTAAAAGAAGAAGACCACTTTATTTTTTTTATTTTTTATTTGCAAATTAAACTGATGACCTGGTTGAGGTCCTATCAGTACATCATACAACAAAAGAGGAGAGAAAATCCATACAGATTAAATTATAGGATACAGAAGAGATATCACAATACAAATGGTAATAAGAAAAACAAACCACATACATTACTTATTCTTCATTAGAATCCCAGTGATTGAGAG